CCTGAGCCGGTGAGATTTGAACCGCTGAACTGCTGATCTAGCAGTAGCCTGCAGTGCTGCATTTAACCACTGCGCCACCTCGGCTCAATAACAATTTTCAGTGCAACACCCCACCCCCCATTTTTAACGGTTTTGCGCATGTGCAGATTTTTTTAGTTGCAAATGCACACAAGCGTGCAAAATTTTTGAGACACCGAACAGGCAGTAATGCCGGCAGAAATCCATCCCTGGTTTGATGATGTTAAAAGAGTTTGCCATCCCAGGATCTAAGCTGGTCAAAATAAAGCTGCCTTTCGCAATTGACTGATGGTGATTTTTGTCAATGCCAAAGATGTGCAACTTTATTTATTGATGTATTTTTCTTTCTTTCTCTCATTTTTTTTTTTTAGGATTTACTCTATAAAGCCGATTCCGTTTACTCTGAAATCAAGAGACCATAATACTATTGCTGAGAGAATTCTAATTCTTGTGTCATCTTGGATAATGGCCCATCCAAAAATGTTGGGATAAAAACCATATACTGCCATCCAAATATTTATATCTTTATGGGATCAAAGACTCTTCCTCTGCCAGACTGGCATTAAATAACCTGGCATTAAATCCAGATTTTATTGAACCCAAGACTGTCCCTTGATGGAAGGGAGTCAAACCGAATTGTCAGTTGGCCGTCATCTTTCACCCAAAATGTGGGCTAGGGTTTAGAAGATCTAGAGGGATGGAAGAAGAAATGAACAGCCGAGGTTGTCACTCAATACAGACTTGATTGGGGGTTGGACTAGAAGACCTCCAAGGTCCCTTCAAACTCTGTTATTCTGTGATCGTGCAATTCTTCTAAAAATTCCGAGGACCCCAAATAATTCACACACAGAGAAAAAGCTTTATTCTCTCCAGATGTGTCTCTGTGTTTGTGCAAATCTTGCATAGATGTCCAGCTGACCTCAGCTTTGAGACCAGATGGCCAGCCTAGAAGTTGGGCTGGTCCAAGACAACCAGAGAGTAATGAGGACCTCTGAGGACCTTTGAGGATTTCACCAATGGTGCTTTTCCATCTCCAAGAGGAAGCATCTTCAATCCCGTCAAATGTCTGTAGCAGAGGCGGTATTCTGCCAGTTCGCTTGACCTGTTAGTAGAAATTGCGGGTCGCCACGCCCAGCCTCCCCGGCTCTATGGCATCCCATTTAGGCCATTTTTGTGCCAAAAGCGCATGCATGGAGATTGCGCGTGCTAGCACTCACATTTGCAAACTGGTAGGGAAGGTAAGTGAATACCCAGCCTGGTCTGTAAACATTTCCCATCTGATGTTCTTGTTTCTCTTGACCAGGGGTGTCAAACTCAATTTCATTGAGGGTTGCACCTGGACTGTGTTTGACCTTGGGGGTGTGTGTGGGGGGACATGGCCGACTGGGTGGGCAGGGCAGCTTGATGCAACTCACTGGGTGTGGCCAATTCGGCGGGCATTGCCAGCTCGAGACCATTCCCCAAACTGCTGGCATGTTTCCTCTTCGCATTGGGTAGACTGGGCCGGAGCGACATGGGCCAGCCCCTTACATTTTCCAGGACGGCCCCACGGGCCGGATCCGACAACATCGCGGGCTGGATCCAGCCTGCAGGTCTTGAATTTGAAATCCTTGCTCTACACCCTCTTGTCCAGCCCCACGGAAACTGTGAATGTTGTGTTTTCTTTGAAAGTGTTGTCTTTGTCTAGTTATTTCCCCTTCCCTTGTCTATTGTGAGCCGCCCGGAGTCCTTCTGGAGTGGGCGGCATACAAAGCAAATAAATACAATAATAAATACAAATAATAATTGTGAACGATAATATCCCTTCAAAACTAGTTTATTTTCATTCTATAGTTTCGGGGAATATAAGGGAATCAGTTGCTAAGACGCTGAGCTTGTTGATCAGAAAGATTGGCAGTTTGAATCCCTAGCGCCGCGTAACGGAGTGAGCTCCCGTGACTTGTCCCAGCTTCTTCGAACTCCAGGAGTTCAAAAGCAGGTAAAAAAATGCGAGTAGAAAAATAGGGACCACCTTTGGTGGGAAGGGAACAGCGTTCCGTGCGCCTTCGGCATTTATTGACGCCGGCCACATGACCACGGAGACGTCTTCGGACAGCGCTGGCTCTTCGGCTTTGAAACGGAGATGAGCNTCATTCAATTCATTCCTTCATTCGCACTCATTCATTCAATTCATTCACTCACTCACTCACTCACGCACTCATTCATTTAATTCATTCGTTCATTCTTTCTGTTATGCTGAGGCTCAGGACCCCGGACAGCACCCCGAGATTCGGGGGGAGTTGGTGAGTATTTTAAGGGAGATTCGGGTTAATGTCACGGTTCCAAATAGCATCCAATATAAAATCAGATTCTGAGGCAAGAGAGTCCTCAAAGTTCCAATTTATGAAGAGAGCCATGTTGGCACATCTGGGAATACCTGAGATCTGAAAGCTTCCCGGTTCCCCCCCCCCAGTTGAAAGTTCAAGATCTTGCCCCCACGCCCACAAGTCCATCCCATGGTCCAACCTTCCATGGCCACGAAGACAGATTCCTCCCATCCAGTTCCGGCCAGGTGCAGAGGCAAAATGACCTTGAGTTTCTAAGAAGAATGTTATTATGGCTACATATCATCCCACTCCATACAATCCCACCTCTCATTTTCCTACAGTAGAAAGTGTGGCAGGCCTGAAGTCCAAAAAGAAAAGATGGCTTGCAGGCATGACACCTTCATTCTTTCATTCATCAATATTTTGGGGGGGATTTGTACTGTAAAAATAATACAACGATAAATAATATTGGACTTTGTAGCACCCTGTGGTCTTCCTTTCTTAAGGCCATTCTCACATACCGTTACGATTCTCCATGTGGGTTAGTGGTCCCATGACACTCTTCCCTTCTGTTGTCCAGATGACAAGGAACCCATTTATGAAGTGGCGGATTCTCCAGTGGAAAATCCAAAGGATCTGCTCCCGACATCTCGCCCTCTTCCGGTGAGTGTCTTCTCCTTGGTTTCTTCTGAGATTGAACAGTGAAGGAGGTTGAGGGCTCAGGCATTGGCCCAAACCAAGATTCTTGAGTTGGTGACCTCATTGGAGTAGAAGGTGGATTTATGTTGAATAGAATAGAAGGTTCCACAGATGTCCCCTTTTCCCCCACTGG